AGATTCCAAAAGGCCAATGTGGAATATAACTGAAAAATAAAACACCGTGGACCTCGGCTGTGTATTTAAATCCCAACTAATAATGTATGTTTAACAACACGAAATAGGTTTTCTAGTTTTCAATATGAATCCCACAAATCTTTTTGGTGTTCAATAAGAAATCTGTTGAAGGTGGCAGAGGAATGATATGAAAATATAGACTTCAGTAACACATACATTTAAAAAACACATACCAATATATAGTATACGTGATAATAAAAAAATTATAAATAATGAAACAATAATATTGCAACTAGTACTTCTGCTTAAGTAGCAGAAGTGAGTAAAATAATGCTACATGAGTTCTTACCTCTTCTTGTAGGTTATTTAGAGATCCCTCACAGGTGTGAACTTCCTCCAACACGTACTTAAACTTCTGAGCAGGGAACAGCCACATGGTGGAGTTCAGCTGGCACACACATGCATTTGACTTCTTGTAGCCCGACACTCGCTGACTCCGGCTGTCAGCCTGATTGTGGGTACAGCAGGTTAAATCCTGAGGAACTGTTCACGGGCTACTCAAATAACGTTTTCTCCTAAAATACTACATTAAATCATTAGCCTTGAAGTGTAACTTACCGTGGATGACAACAGTAGCAATAGAAGTATCTGCAGCATGTTTAGCCGGAAAAACTGAGACTGGACCAACAAAGATACACACAAACACACACAGTGCTCTTCTGTTTTCTCTAATAAACTCACTGACAACAAACACACAGCCTGCTGGGCTGTTTCCTGTCACTGATGGGTTGCGCCACAGACTCAAAAGCAATTGGATGACACAACTAAAAGCATCAAACTGCACTTTTGTAGGACCCCTCCCGCTTCCTTCATGTATTGTTAATTTATCAGCTGTCATTTCCAAATGTTTTCATTCCTTCCTAACAGGATTATTTCCTACTTTATTAATTTTTTAATTTTTTAAATTATTATAGATTTTTTTTTTTTTTTAACTAAAACATGACCAAAACAATTAATCAACAAAATCTTAATATCGTAATACAACTACAGAACTGCGTATCTATGTAATATAAGTACTAAATACTGCTGGCAGATGTTATACATTTACTTATGTTAAAATGTTAAAACTTGTAGCCAATGGAAATGGCACTTTTAGCATATTGTAACAAATTAATCTGATTTTTGCAAGGGTGAACTTAGATAAGAGTGATACACTCATAGAAACTAAGTAACAAGAGACACTTTTTAAATTGTATCACCTTTTTTATGTTAAACTATTTTTATCAGTTCTGAATAAAAAAGTAAAAAATTAAGCTCTTCTAATCTCTGTTACGTACCCTAAAAGGTAGGCATTTGCATTGACATATTAATATGTAATGAAAAGTAGCAACTTCTAAACATGTACTTGCTTAGCAATGAAACCTTATACGTTATCATAAATTATCATTGGAAACTTGGAGACTGTTAAAAGAGCCCAATAAATGATTTACTGTAAGATGTTGCATGCATAACACAAACCACAAAATTTAAAAAAAATCTAATTATTATTGCACTCTGACTCAAAGTGGACACTTTCA